CCCTGCGACGCTGCCGCTGCCGCCGGGCACCCAAGGCCACCATGAAGAAGGAGGTGTGCTCAGTGGCCTTCTTCAAGGCCGTGTTTGCGGAGTTCCTGGCCACCCTCATCTTCGTCTTCTTTGGCCTGGGCTCGGCACTCAAGTGGCCCTCGGCGCTGCCCTCCATTCTGCAGATCTCCATCGCTTTTGGCCTGGCCATAGGTACCCTAGCTCAAGCTCTGGGGCCTGTGAGCGGTGGCCACATCAATCCGGCCATTACTCTGGCCCTCTTAGTAGGCAACCAGATCTCGCTGCTTCGTGCTATCTTCTACGTGGCAGCCCAGCTGGTGGGCGCCATTGCTGGGGCAGGCATCCTCTACTGGTTGGCGCCAATCAATGCCCGGGGCAACCTGGCCGTCAATGCGGTGAGTGCCTACCAGACGGTGGAGGCGTGGGCAGAGACTCTTGGGGACGTTTAAGACCAATCCTCCATGCTCCTTCATCTTGAGAATGGGTACAACCAAAAGGCTGGTGCACCACAACTTTACCAGGAAAAATTGGTTTACCAACCAGCATCCTGGCCCAGCAGTACCCCTGTCCTAGCTTCTTCTCACACTCTACTTCAGCTGCCCCTCATCTTACACTGCTCTACCTGGCCTTGCTCCCCATGGCTGCTGAAACACCCCCTCGGCTTCTAGGCTCACCTGTGAGCTTTTTCTTGTCATCCCCTTGGCCGTGTACTTTTAATGGAACCTTTAAAGAGCAATGGATCGTAATCGTGGTCTGGGGTAACCCCGATCTTCATGGGCTTCCAATTTATTAGCCATAACATGGAGGTGGACATAGCATAGAAAGTGTCATGGGTGTTACACTTAGAAGTTATGATGTGACATTCCCCAAATACCTGCTCCCCTTTTTGTAACCCCTGCTCCTGCCCCCTACTGTCTCCCCATTTTTGCAGCCCTAGATTCAGCCCCCTGTCCCATGTGAACTGGGTTCATTAATCAAACACAGAGGAGGATTTTCGCGGCCATTGTCAAGCCGTGAGTCAGCCACACTGGAGAGACGGGTTTGAGGTTGGCACCGGCAGCGGGTCAGGCACGGATAGGAGGCCAGGGGCAGTTTGCAGGAGGCAAACTGGGCAGCTGCCCACAGGAGGGAGGGTAAATGCCAGCTTGTGGGGGCTGGGGATTGGGCAGAGCCATTGACACGATGGTGCCCAGGAAAACTCGCTGACACCCTACCCTCTGGCTACAGGCCTGAGCTTCAAGCCTGTGCACATTGAAGTATGGTTTCTGTAACGAATGGCTTGTCTGGTTCATGCAGAGGGCTTGGCGTCCAAGAGCTCAGGCTCTAGGTGTCCTTGGAGGCCAGAACTGCACTCGCTAGCCCTGTCACAGACCCTGAAGGCAGCAGGGGCCTAATCCAGCTTTTCCTTTGTAGCTGAGCAACAGCACAACGCCTGGCAAGGCCACAGTGGTGGAGCTGATCTTGACCTTCCAGCTGGCTCTCTGCATCTTCTCCTCCACCGACTCCCGCCGTACCAGCCCAGTGGGCTCCCCAGCTTTGTCCATCGGCCTGTCTGTCACGCTGGGCCACCTTGTGGGGGTGAGTAGTGCTGACATAGGCTGGGGTGTCATGGAGAGAAGCCACGCAGGGTGAATATGGAGCCCTAGAACAGCAACTCCTCCAGAAAGATGAGACCCAGCAGAGGTTAAGGCCTGGTCTTGGGGCTTCTGGGCTGTAGCCCTACTGTGCCCTAGGTTTTGCCCCCCCCCCCCCGAAGCCTCTCTGGACTGAGAAACGGTGCGACTAAGTGGAAGGGAGGGTGAGGTCAGAGAAGTAAGCCCAAAAGAGGCCAAGAAGGGAAGAGGACATGGTCTGGAGGGCATGGTCTGATGGTCAGGTGGGCTGCGTGAACAGAGTCAGCAACCTAGGAACTGGAAAATCCGACTTTGAGATGTGGGTGGTTCCTATCCTGTGACCCTGAGAGAGTCAGAATTCTGTGGGAGGGGAAGGGATGGTGCCCTCCTCACTGTGACTCCGTCTACCCAGATCTACTTCACCGGTTGTTCCATGAACCCAGCCCGTTCCTTTGGCCCCGCGGTGGTCATGGATCGGTTCAGCCCCTCTCATTGGGTGAGTGTGGGCCTCCCCTGGCTCCCTACCAGGTGCTGGAAACACAGGGAACTGAAGTGAAAGTCCAGGAGGGATTGGACTTTCTGGGTGTTATGGGCCCAGAACCCGGGGGCTGGAAGGAGAAGGGAACACAGAAGGGGCTGAAATGTAGCCCGAGGGGTGGGGTGGACCAACACTTCTCTAGAAGTGGGGCGGGCATCTGTGTTGATCCTCTGAGGATTTTGTCTGTCCCTCTGTGTATCTGTCCAAATGGAGATGTTGGGGGCATGCTTTTCTGGGACTGTCCCTCCGGACAGTGTCTTGTGTCCGTATGTCAGCCAGGCTTAGAGTGCAGAAGAGGGTGGCAGAGCCTTGCTTCGGCAGGGGACGCTGGGGAAGCTCTACACCTTGGAAGACATCATGTTGGGGGCTCTGTTCGCCTGCTCGGAAGGTTCCCTTGCTTCTCTTTAGACTGGGGTTAGGAAGCCTATCTGTCCTGGGCTCTGCCTGCCTCCTTGGAGGGTCTGTGTGTCTGTGGTCCATGACTTTGTCATTAAGGACTGGCTGAGATGGGAAGACATTTTTCCCTCTGGAAACCTGGAAGCCTGGAAGTCCATTTCCTTTCCAGGTCTGTGTGTCTGTGTTCTAATGAGGAAGGACATGAGTTCTGGGCTCAGCTTCTGCTTTAACCCTGTCTTGCAGGTCTTCTGGGTGGGGCCGATTGTGGGGGCCGTCCTGGCTGCCATCCTCTACTTCTACCTGCTCTTCCCCTCCTCCCTGAGCCTCAGCGATCGTGTGGCCGTCGTCAAAGGCACCTACGAGCCGGACGAGGACTGGGAAGAGCATCGGGAAGAGCGGAAAAAGACCATAGAGCTGACGGCACACTGACCAGTGCAGGCAGGGGCCAGTCCCTCATCCCTGAACTGCTGGCAAAGAAGAAGAAAACTAGACCTCCGAGTATCTTTCCCAACCTCCCTCTTGGCGGGGAAGAGGCACTGGACCCACGCTGAAGATAGGGATGGAAGCAGAAGCCCACAGTGGGACACTCGGGTGGGGCCAGAGGCTGGAGTCTGACGGGGACAGGGTCTCTTCAGGATTAGGCAGAATGAATGCCACGCGTCAGACCTCAGAGACTGTGAATGCACTACCGAGCTCACAGACTGCCCAGGACCACACCAGAAAGGGGTGGTACAGTCTGCTAGGTCACCCAGCCCAAAGCCAGCCCCCATGTGGGCAGAGGGGACACCCCCAGAACCCCTCAGCAGAGGAACAGATGGTTCATTGAATACCATCCTATTTATTTTCGGTCAAGGATGGGGGAGCTGGTTTTGGGGTTGGGCACTTCCCAGTAAAACCATCAATCTTCATATTCCGCTGTCGTCTCCCTCCAGAAACCTCTTGGGACAATGGCCAGTCATGTCTCCCTTTGTGATACCACACCCTCACACGTGTTCATCAGAGGGCACAGAGACCATCAGACAAATCCTCCAAAAGGAAAAGCTGAGGCTAGGGGAGGCAGATAGGACCAGAGAGCTGGAGGGTGGCAAGACCAAATGTAGAAACAGAAAAAAACAGAAACAGCACAGGAGAGCAGGGAGGGCCAAGAAGAGGGTCCGCAGCCAAGTCACACGCCCGTTCCACCTGTCCCTTCAGCTATGTTCAGTCCCTGCCACTTGAGGAGGGCCTGGTGTGCCAGGTAGGGTGGGGAGGGAACCGACACAGGCCCTTGAGATTCCAAAGGGGTGAGAGGCTCTCAGTCCTGAGAGCACCAGCCTGGAGCTTCCTTCTCTGGGACTCCAGTGTTTCCGAAAGGCGGCGTCCTGGAGCCTGTGCTCAGAGGTTACTGTCTCCCTCATAGGGACACAGCATCTCCCCACCCAGCTCCTCGGGGCTTCTGTCTTCTGCCTTTGGCAGAGTGGGGAGGGGGTCCTGTCACTCCCTCACCCCTCCTGTCCTTGCCTGTTTGTCCAGTTGCTATTGACATTCGGGAAACTCCTGAGCTTCCATTGTTAACCTGTAAAATGTATCCAAATGCTTCCTCACAGGGTCTGAGGAGCCAGATGAGGTAAGGGTGAGGAATACCAACAGACTCTCTGTGAGGAGCGGGTAAAGACCCATGACCAGTCAGCACGCAACCCAGCACCATGGTTAAAGAGTCCAGGGTGAAAACTGGCCACCCACATCCAAATCTTTTTTGATTTTGTTTTGTTTTTCAAGTTTGTTTTGAGTTTCAGGGCTGTTCTGGAACTGTCTCTGTAGACCAGGCTGCCTCGCCCACCAAGTGCTGAGATTAAAGGCATACACCACCACCGCACGGCCCCACATTCAAATCTTGCTACCCCTGGGATGATGAGCCCATAAATTGGGTTCTATTTACCTGCCCCCTGGGTTGCCATGAGGAGAAGTGAGATCCTGACTGGGAATTAGACCCTAGTAAGGTCCCTCTGAGAGAGTAAGGACGTCTGTTCTCCAGATCCTGCTTGAGTCTGCGGCTCCTCAGCAGAACCTCTCCCTTGATCCTCAGCTTCGCCTCAACAGGGTCGGAGGCAGCAGGAGTGGGAAGGAGAAGCTGCAGACCCAGGCTGGGAGGCCAACCCACCCAGACCACCTCCGAAACAGCCTAGGGTCAGAAAGGCAGTGAAAACCGCTGGACCCAAAACTGCCTGTCCCACAGGCTTCCATGGAACAGCAGTCAACTGGGGGGGGGGGGGGAGAGTACACACAACCTACCCCCTACACACACACACACACACACACACACACACACACACACACCGCATCTTGCCTTTTCTTTCCCACTTCCTGCAAGTGAGGGTGCTGACTGCAAGTGCCAGCTCTAGCCAGCAGGGGGCAGACACGCCCACCAAATCCACACACATCACTTCTTCCCTGGGATTGGACTCTGGATCCAGGCAGCGATGAGGCTGCTCAAGAGCACAAAGAGAGTGTCCCAGGCTAAGGTTTCTGAGGTAACCAGGGAGTAGCCCCTTGCCAGCCCACTACCTCACTACCCAGGAGGAGGTGCAGAGGGCGACAGAACACCAGTTCAACTTTCAGACAACTCTGATTTGCATTCTCCTGTCTAACAGACCCCAAGGGGCCTGTGACAGGGTGAACAGGGGCCTACAAGAGACAGACCCTCAGTGGGTGGGGCATTGAAGCAGAGGAGTCACTGCTCTGCTTGATCCAGTTAGAACAGTGGGCAGGCAGGTTTGCCAGCAGAGGGCGCTGTGCACCTGTGTGTGATCGTCCATGAACTGACAAAGCCTTGCACACACACATACACTAAACCTGTCCATTTCTGGGGCTCCTAGCTGTGGCACTGACCTGCAGCTAGCTGTGCTTGGGGAGGCTATATCATCCCTGTGTGTTCCTCTTCTCTTAGCATGGGCATACAAGCCACAGTCATGCCGCCCCCACCCCCCACCCCCGGCCACTCTCAAAGAGCCAGGCTCCCTGTATTCTGCAGCGCACCTGTGTGAAGTCCCACCCAAGCACACACATGCTCTGTCCGCTCTCTGACAGACTTCTCTGCCTGAAGGGGGAATGGACGGAGAGCCCATATTCTCCAGCTGAAGGCTCTTCCTCTGTGCCTATTCCTCTCTCCGGAAGCTGCCAGTTTCCATCGGCGGTGGATGGGCACGGTGCTGTGATAGGTGGAAGAGGATTCGAGCTAAACCTGGACGGTGGTGGGCAGGAGGTGGCTGTTGAGATGGATGGGCAGGAGGAAGAATTTGGGGGAGGATCCGATCGCAGCTCCTCTCAGCTCAGCCCTCTCCTCCGTCATGAGTGACCTGGCAGCCTGCCAGTCTGGTCAGAGCCAGCGAGGTGACACAGACTGGCTTGAGCCCCTTCCTTGCGATTATGCTTTAGTTCTCTCTTGCTGGCCTCACTCCCCCTCCCCCCGCCCCGCTCCCCCGGCCTGAGCTTCAGTGGGAGCACACGTCCAGGAGGAGCGGCAGGCAGCCAGGTGTGGGGCTGGGACAAAAGGCTTCTGAGCACTAGTGAGCTCAGATCGGCACTGGAGTCTGGGACTGTTTGGGCCCAGGAAGGTGCTGGCTGGGGCAGGAAAAACAGGAACTGGGCAATGCCTGCCTGCCCTCAGCGGTGAAAGACCTTGTCCCAGGCTGAGTGGGAGCCAAGGTGGTCTGTCCCAAATGATTTTGGGAAAGAAGCTCTCAGGGCACTTAGTGTCTTTTACCTTCCGCCAGCAGAGCAGGGCTGCAGGTGGTACTTGGCCCTGACCTGCCACAGCAGTCGAAACCCTTCTCTGTGTGTCTGATCTCCACAGAGTCTGTGCCCCAGAGGTGAGGGAGTGGGGGCGGATAGTGTCCTGAGGTGTCTGCAGAAACCTCTCCCAACCCGTGGGGTCATAAGAACAATACCCACTTAAAAGCAAGGTTGTGCCATCACAGAGGCCAAGCAGCTGGTCAGCATGCAAGCCACGTGGCAGTATTCAACACACTTCTGTTTGTGTTATCCAAACTCTCCACACAGTTCTGTTGGCACACATTCAGAACCAGGCTAGGTCAGACATGACGGCTGGTAAATGGCCATCCTTCTACCAGGCACAGCCCAGGAGAGGGCTGGGAAGCAGGCCTCTGAGGTACGCTGAGGGCACCCCTCCGTCTCCCTCATTTGCTCAATCCTACATCTCTCTGTAGCTCACTTAGATTCTGCTACGGAAGAACACCAGGGAAGGAAGGCTTCTCAGGGAAACCGCACTTGAGAACTGTCTCGAAGGAGAGACAGAAGAAATGCCTCGCCAACGTGGAGGGCTCAGAAGGGACTCTGTAAATGTTTGGCCCAGCTGTAGTAAAGAGGACAGGCGGGGTGGGAACTGGGGCAGGAGGAAGCAATCTCTCCTTGCATGTTGGTCATTGAGGTACGGGGAGCCACTGAAGGGTTGATGGGTGATGTGACCACTGTGGCATTCTGGAAGGATCTCTGGCATAAGAGAAAGGCCACCTCTTGCTTAGAGCCATGGGCAGCTGGGTAGAGTGTGGGCCATGGTTGAGCCCTCAGCTGGTAGGAAGCAGGCAAGAAGGCTGGAGGCCTAGCTTTCTAGGTAGGATGGGCGGTACACAATTATGGGAAGTCAGATAAAGCAAGGAGTTTGTGTAGTGGGGGGAGGGGGGTTGAAGAATGGGAGAGATGGGCAAGGGGGATGGGCGGGAGGGGGTCAGTGAGTAGAGACACCTTACTGAACTTGATGACATGACTTCAATCCCTAGGACCCACATGGGAGAAATGGCTCCAGAAAGTTGCCCTCTGAACACGATCTGTGCATATACTCATATACACACAATAAAATAAAAATGTAAGCCGGGCGGTAGTGGTGCACGCCTTTAATCCCAGCACTTAGGAGGCAGAGGCAGGTGGATCTTTGTGAGTTCGAGGCCAGCCTGGTCTACAAGAGCTAGTTCCAGGACAGGCTCCAAAGCTACAGAAAAACCCTGTCTCGAAAAAAAAAATTAATTAATTAATTAATTAAAAATGTAAAGAAAATGATTTTTAAGAATAAGAGAGAACACCAATCCCAACACTCGGGAGGCAGAGGCAGTAGGTCTCTGTGAGTTTGAGGCCAGCCTGGTCTACAAAGTGAGTTCCAGGACAGCCAGGGCTACACAGAGAAACCCTGTTTTGAAAAAACAAAGAGAAAAGGGAGAGAGAATCATCTGGGGCCAGTGAGACAGAGAAAGGATCAGCTGAGCAGAGCTTCCGCCTCCAATGAGGCCAGGGGTGCATGGGTGCCTGGCCCCAGCAGGTTAGCCTGGGGTCAAGAGTGTCCAGCCTAACCGAGACTGGAGCTGACTCCCAGCTGGCATTCTCTATCCGTCCTGATCAGGCATCGTGTCAACAAGAAGCTGGGGAGGGGGCATGAGAGTCACAGAGGAGGCAGAGACCTGCCATTACGGCTGTGCCCGCACAGCGTCCAGTGCTGCCAGCTGGGCCTGGCAGCTCAGACCAGACAGAGAGGGCATGAGAACGAGAAGGGAGTGGTGGCGAGGACAGGGACTAGCAGCGGGCACTGGCAAGAGCAGGCTGCTCCCAGTGAGAAACCAAGGTTCCTCTGAGGAGAGGAAGGGAAAGCCAGGACAGCTGGAAGAAAAGAGGAGGCAGGGGTTTTCTTGGGACTGAGATGGGGGAAGGCATGGCAGAGCCTGTGGTCCTTTGAAGATGTCAGAGAATTCAGTCCTGTGAGGGGGCAGGAGGACAGTCATAGGAACAGCAGACCAGAATGAAACCAACGTGACAGTCACCTGCTCGTTATTGAGTATCTAGTATAGGCAGTCTCCGTGCAAGACACTGTGTACAGAGATGAGCTAAATGTGATTCCTTCCCTACGGGCTTAACACCTTGCTGGGGAGACACATCAACTCTGCAGCAACAGCGTCCTGACTGTGTGAAACTGTCTAGGTATGGTGACAACACACAGAGATGTCCTTACCCGGGACAGAAGCAGGTGACACTGGAAGCTGGCCTCAGGGATGGGCTAGGAGTTACCCAGGCAAAGAGAGTGTTGAGGGCTCTCTGAGAAGAGGGAGAGTCTCAGCGACGGGCAGGATGCTCACCCCAGGATGCTGACCAAAGAGGGTGGCAGAGGCCTAGCAGAGACTTCAGCAGAGCGCAGCCGGCTGATCACTACCTTTGTGAAGCTCCGTTCTGACTGGAGTGTGGAGAGCTGACTAGGGCAAAGTGAGGATATGAACTGGCTATTGGCTGCAGGGTTGAGGGAGGAGGGTACAGCCCAGATGCAAGCAGGATTCAAAACCAGCAGGGCTCAATAGCTTTATGGGGAGAAGGATCAAGGATACTTCTTAGGTATCACCAAACTGAACTGGAGAAAAGAAAAGAGGGAGGCGGATGGATGCATTTGGAGACAGACTGAGGAGCCTGTGTGTGGTAGGCGCAGCCGGGGGGCAGGGCAGGGCAGGGTGAGAGTATTGCTTGGTCAGCTCCACAGAGGGAAGACCTTTGTTTAAGACAATGCTTTGTGATGCTGCTGGGGAGCGAGGGGATACTGTCTAGGCATTGGTGACACTTTAGGACCCAGTATAGCCACAAAAGTAGATAACCATCTGACCTAATAAATCACAGAGAGGCAGACAGGGAGAAGTAAGGCTATGAAGCGGGTAAGAGAAGATAGAGAGGCAGGAAGTGAGGGAAGGACCAGAGGAAACTCCCCAGTGGACAGTAGAACTGGTCAGGGCCCCATGTGGCAGCTGGCACAGTTTGAGGACTATGTGGTGAACCCGAACTCCATTGCTCCGGCCACACACCCAGGACCACATATCCTCAGTAAAATTGACTGTTCGCATCTGCAACATGGGAGTGCGGCTTTAGGTGGGATTGGTGGAAAGACCTTAATTTTACACCTAGGTTTATGGGGCACAGGATACACCCCACCTCTTCAGAGGAAGAGACTAGATGGTTGGACATGGGAAACCCTGAAGCAGGCCTTGAACGTGGGGTTCTCAGTGATCCTGCTGTCTCTGAGCTGACACTGGGGACCTGACGTCCATTCTGAATCTCCGGGTCTCAGGCGAGACTTCTTTCAGCAGCCAGTGTTTGGCTGTCCCAGAAGGTTCCAGCTCAGTGCCCAGTGTCACCCCCTTACTGGCCTGCTCCCCCCATCAGGTGAGCCCAAGGTGGAGCTAGGCACGTGAGCACAGCCCTCTGTACCTCCCACCCCAAGACACGCATAGTGCCCTCAGCAGGCTCCCCGTCAGTCTGAGCAGCTTGCTCCTGAGGGCAGCAGTGTGCAGGCCACCACAGAAAGTGAGACCAGGGGACAGGAGACCTGAGGAGACAGAGGAATCAGGGAGGAACAGGAGCAGCAGACCTGAAGCACAAGGTGATAAGACATGGAGCCAAGGCTGTGTTGTAGGGCTTTCTTCCTGGCTGGCAGACTCTGGACAGCCATCAGCAAGGCTCTGTTTGCTGAGTTCCTGGCCACGGGGCTGTATGTGTTCTTTGGTGTGGGCTCTGTCCTGCCCTGGCCTGTGGCCCTTCCCTCTGTGCTGCAGATCGCCATTACCTTCAACCTGGCCACGGCCACAGCTGTGCAGATCTCCTGGAAGACCAGCGGGGCCCATGCCAACCCCGCGGTGACGCTGGCCTACCTCGTGGGGTCCCATATCTCTTTGCCTCGGGCTGTGGCCTATATTGCTGCCCAGCTGGCAGGGGCCACCGCTGGAGCCGCTCTTCTCTACGGGGTAACTCCAGGAGGTGTCCGAGAGACCCTGGGAGTCAACGTGGTAGGTGCAAAGAGGCCTGGGAATGATGCGGGTGATAGGGCACGGGAGACAGAGTCAGGTGGTAAGGGTGGGAGTCCAGACAGGAGCCAAGGCAGGGTGGAGGGGTCGGATAAGGTAGCCACGCACTCCTTAGCTGCTCCGAGCAGGTCTCTGGGTTCTAGAGGGATGGACTTGCGCCCTCATCTAGGCAGGGCAGGAATGGAACAGGGAGGAGAGGGAGTCAGAAGGGCCAGGCATCTAAAGGCTGGCACGGGGTGGGGCTGGGACGGAGGGAGAGAGGGGACCCTGCCCACACTGTTTACTGCGCAGTGCTCTGTTTGTGTCCTCCCCTCTGCCATCTCCCGGGTCCCTGGGGCCTGCTTCCCTCCCGCAGTTGCCTTTGTTCCACCTGCTTCCACGACTGCCCGCAGGCCTCCTCCATCTGTCCTCAAGCTTTCTTGTTCCTTACTTCCGTGTCCCCCTGAACCACAGGCCTCCCTCAATGGCAGACTAGGAGAGGCGCCTTCCACAGGCATTGGGCATCCAGATGTAGGATGTATGAGTCAGCCACTCAGACCTTAGGTTCTGGGGCTGAGAGAAAACTAGACCTAGGGAGTCTCACTGTCCCGCGGGCAGAGCCCACGTCCACCCTGGCGTACCCCTTTCCTCTCTGCCCAGGTCCACAATAGCACGTCAACCGGCCAGGCGGTGGCCGTGGAGTTGATCCTGACGCTGCAGCTGGTGCTCTGTGTCTTTGCGTCCATGGACAGTCGGCAGACCTTGGGCTCCCCAGCTGCCATGATTGGGATCTCTGTGGCTCTGGGCCACCTCATTGGGGTAAGGAATCAAAAAAGAACACCCTGCATGTGCACATACTGGAATCCTCCCTGGAGAAACTATAGGACTCCAAAGGCCAGGAAGAGTCTTTCCCTGAGCTCCTCATGTCTCGTAGCCTGAGGTAGTGAGTACCCTGTAATATAGGACTAGCCGAGGTGGGGGCGGGGGAAATGTCAGCCTTTTTAGGCTGCCTCAAACCTCCTCGTACTTTGATCCTGAACGTCTTCTCTAGATCTACTTCACCGGCTGTTCCATGAACCCAGCTCGCTCCTTTGGTCCTGCTGTCATTGTCGGGAAGTTCGCAGTCCACTGGGTGAGCCCCTCCACTGTTAGGCTTGGGGTATAGAGGACTAGAGCTAGTAGGTTTTACCATTAGGAAATCCACAGGGAGAAAAATCAGCCAGATCTCGTCACCAGGTCATTTAGACCATCCAGGAGTACAGATTTCCCTGCATTCAAAAAGCCGAGGTGAGCATCCCGGCTCTTTCGGCTCCAATATCCTGCAGTATCCAGGGACTGGCAAGAAGTGGGCCAGGGCAGAAGCTGCAGCCTTGGCCCAGGCTTTATGTTCTGGCTGCTTCCTTCTTCACTTTCTCCAGCTGGACCAATTTTCAAACTTGAATAAAGAAAAAGACAAACAGAAATAGACCACACAGAAGCAGAGATAGAAACAGCAATAGTCAGGGCTAAAACAGGAGAGGTGAGAGGGAAGAGGAGCAGTGGAGAGGACTGGAGCCCCAGCTTTCGCTTTGGCTGCACCCTCCAGGGAAGGAAGGAAGCCCTGGGCTCATAGTTCTCAGGTCACTGCTCTGTGGGCACTTGAGAGTCCCTGGGGCTGGGCTTGGGAGCAAGTCAGTGCTAAGGGCGGCAGGCGGCAGGCGGCAGGGCACAGGCAGGGTTCCAAAATCACCCTGCACTACTGATGGTTCACACCTACTTCTGTCTCCTCAGATCTTCTGGGTGGGACCCCTCACAGGGGCTGTCCTGGCTTCGCTGATCTACAACTTCATCCTGTTCCCTGACACCAAGACTGTGGCTCAGCGGCTGGCCATCCTCGTGGGCACCACCAAGGTGGAGAAAGTGGTAGATGCGGAGCCCCAGAAGAAAGAATCCCAAACGAACTCAGAGGACACAGAAGTGAGCGTGTGACACTGCCCAGCCCCTGGCCCCTCCGGCTTCCAGGGCGGGATGCAGGTGGGCGGCTTGCCTGGCTTGAGGTGTCCCTGGTGTTGGGGGGATCGGCAGACTTGGCCACTTGTTCTAAGTAGGTACCAATCCTATCCCTGACAAAACGGTTGCTTCTTTTCCTTGCCTGTCTTTCTCCCCTGAGATCCACCACCCAGGCTGACCTTATATTCAGTCTTCCCCCTTGGCCTATGAAATAGTTGGGACTTGGGCACACCACCATGACTGGCTTCTGCATTAATAGACAGAAAAAAATCTGGAAGTAAATCCATCCAGTTAATTTAATTCTCCAAGATCTTCCTTGCATTTCCTTTTTCTTTCTTTTGGTGTTTAAAATTTTACATACAAAGTAATATGCTTCATTATGTCCTTTTCATACATACTTTGCTTTTGTTGACCCTCTTCCTGGACTTGGGCCCCCCCCCCCGCAGGCCTCTTGGACACTTCCTGCTGGTTCCCTCATCCCACTAGGTCCTCTACTTCCCCCCTAATCCCCAGTCCCCCCACACCTGTACCGCCTTCTCCCTCCTGTGATTCTGGTTCTGGTTCCATTAGGACAAGCGTGAAGGGAGGCAGCAGGACCCCGTGGCATCCTGGACCTCTGGATCCCTATCTTGGGGAAAGGGGAATTGGGACCCAGATAGCCTTTCTGCTTGGATTCTGATGAGGGAGTGTTAGGAAGCCCCAAAATATTTCCACTGAGTAGAGAAGGGAAACACTACTCTTTGAGATGCCTGAACTTCTCACAGGGTTTCTTTGAGTGGTTTGGGGATCCATCAGAGTGGGGTTTCCTGAGGACAGAAATCGCTTTCTTAAAAGGACTTCATTTCTACTTTCCAAATGCTCGGGAAGGTCCACACCCCGTACTGTGGGACCAGACAGAGAAACCTTCTCCTAGGTTAGCAAGGAACAGCATTGAGGAGCTCTGGACCAGATGATCTTCTCCTGAGGCCCCTCAGTGTAGACACAGGAAAACCTCCACTCCTGTTCTAAAGTCTACATCCTGGGCCGGCAGCCTCTCCAGTCTGGTTCTCAGCATCATAGGACCCAAAGAAGCTGTTAAATAAGTTCTCTTAAATGAGACCACAGAATGACCCAGAAAATCGAGATTAGAGGTTTAGCGCCTCTGAAAGACCCTGGGAGTTGAGTGGATTTTGGTAGATGTTAAAGGCTGCTGTGTCTCTTCTCTGCCTCCGATAGGAGCTAGGACGTGTGGTGGTGGGGATCCTGTCTGAATTTCAGCTTCCCCACTGCAAAATGGGCACACTCCTCCCGCAGAGAGTGCTGTGGCAACAGCAAGTTAGAAGATGCTTTGGGGAGTTAAATGCTGGTAGAACAACTCCAATAAATGATGATTATTGTTGCAGTTACTGTAATTATTGGGTTTGAATACAATTGCTGTTGGTAATGGGAAGGAAGAGGGAAGGGGGATGATGGAGAGGGAGGGAGAGAAAGCAGGTTCTGCTCGCCTTCACTGGGTTGCTTCCCAGGGGGCCCTCCCCCCTTCTCTCTGAGGTCTTCTGACCTGGGAGCTTTGTGGGGGTGGGGCTAGGAAGGGACCCTGGCATGAGGAGATAAGCCAATTCAAGTCAGTTCTCATCTCTATGGCACCCATCACCATGGTACCCTGAGATGCAGCAGCCAAATCCATTTAAAAAAAAGGGGGGGGGGGGGAAAAAAAGAAAGCGAGATAATTGATAAGCGCTTATCTTCGGCTGGGCCTCAGGAGGGAGGGGTTGCCGAAACATTGCAAGGGCAGGGCAATGGGTAGACCTGGGACTACTGCAGCGGTGGCCCGTGATGCAGCATCTGCAGCCATGGTCTTCTGCATGCTGCGATAGCATTGGTACCGAGTACTATCCACCTCACCCATCTTCATCATCTTGAAATCCCAGGGCTTCTTGTGCCCTTTATAAGTAGGGACAGACGTGAGTGTGTGTGTGTGTGTGTGTGTGTGTGTCTGTGTTCATCTGTGTACAAAGTGTGTGAACAGAGGACATGACCGACTTGCCAAAGGTCACTTGACTTTATTGCAAAGATCCCTAAGGTCTCTCCAGCTCTCAGCTTAGACTTTTCTAAAATAGAGCTCTCTGGGGTCTCAGAGGAGCTGCAGCCACTGGAGGGAAAGAGGCAGGGGCTCAGAGAGGGTTGTGGCAGGGAACTCCTGCAGTAGGCTTTTAAGCCTCTTGACAAATTATCTCTGTGCCCCAGAGCCAAGCACACACTGGGTGCTCAATAAAAGTTTGATGAATGAATGACAGAGGCTGGGCGGCTGGGGAGGGAGAGGAGGCAGTAATTGATCAGGAAGAGGAAAGTTCAGAACTTGGAGCTCCAAATGAGCCAAAATGAGAGCAGCTGAGAAGCCTATGCTTCCACGCAGGGGCTGGGAAGAGGGTGGAAGTCAGAGTTAGTGTCTCCACCTACCACTCTGGAGCAGCGCTGGCAATCCCAGAATTTAGGTATGGGAGGCACAGAGGTCCTTGCCTAGGGGAACCATGAGTGTAAAACACACAGCCTAGAGGGCTGGGAGAGGAAGTGGTTAATAACCTGGTGGCCGTTGCACTGTCTGTGTAGCCTGTGAAACCACACCAGATCTGCTCCCCACCCCCAAGACCCTTATTGTGAATTTGTCAATCTATAGAACCCATCTTTATGGAAAGTGTCACATGTACTTTGCAAAGAATTTCAATGCAGTCGTGTCTTAAGCTTTATTGTGCATGCAAGATTGAGTTAATTATCACCAGGAAAAATTTCACCAAATTGTGCTGTGCTTAAATATGCCAAAAATAAACTACTTGGCATCAGACTCCCAAAGTTTGAACCAACACTGGCTACTTTGTCTGTTTACCCGAACTGCCTTCTCGCCTCCCTCAGATCATTCCTCTGCTGGCTGTGGTGGTTGAAGAGATTACCGAATTTAGGAACCCAAAAGAGCAAGGGGGTGGCCTGCCGGAAGCTGGAAACTGTTTCCACTGATAATCCGTTAGCAGCCCTTCTGTGGAGAAGGACTGGAGCGAGAGATGGCCTTCCCGAGAAAGGAGGAATCGGTAATTAGGTTAAAGCTGAAGAGCTTCGAAGGTCGGACGGAATAAGTAAGCAAAGGTTAGCGTTTCCTCTGGAGGCTTTTCTAGGACACCAGGCCATCTGTTTAGACAGGGACGAGCTGGCCTTGGGCACTCCAGATCTCAGCAGCTCCAGTTGGAGACGCAGGAGTCACCGGCACAGTCCCTGGGGCTGGTTGGGGACAAGGGGTCTGGGGAGGATAGAGACCCACCAGGCAGGCCCTCGGTGTGCATCCCCTGGCTCTCGTTTGTCAGGGGAAGTTTTTAATTAATGGTGTGTAATCTGATCTGGCCCTTCTTCCCGCTGAGTACTGCTTTCAATCAGGGGAGCCATCTGCAGTGGCAATTCATAACTCTCTCCAAGGGGAGGGGGACTCAGGATGGGTGCCTTGGTGATTAATACAATTAGCCTTTTATGTTGATGATTGTCTTAGCAGGGGCAGATGATCTGAGCCCAGAGCCTAGGCAGTTGTTTCCGATTGGCTGGCAGGAAGCCCCCTGCCTCCCCCACCCCAACCCCCACTGCAACTGTTGGTCTTTAGCTTGCTACCTCCAGGTATAAAAAGGACAGGCCTCATCTGACACCATACTGTGCAACCAGAAAAGCCCAGAGAGGGCCAGACTGGGGACACTTTTAGTTCCCAGGTCTAAGGGAAAATGGGGACCAAACCAGAGACTCCCATTCCAAGAAAACCATTTTGGCTTATTCTTGTGTGCCGAGGCTGAAGAACAAGACAGGGCTAGAAGGTAGTTCAGCTGGCCTAGACTGCTCAAGGCCCTGGGTTTGACCTCCAGCACCAAATAAACATGGCGTGGTGGCAGATATCTGTATCCTAGCACTCAAGAGGTGGGGACAGGAGGGTCTTACTCTGTAACCCGAGTGACCTCAAACCTGAAATGAAGGCACTGCTTTAACTTCCCAAGGGGATGTAAGACTCATGTCTGGCATGTGGACTCATTTCCTCATCTGGACAACTCAGCAGTAGAGAGACCTACTACTGAGCAGGTCTCATGGCATGTGGACTCATTTCCTCATCTGGACAACTCAGCAGTAGAGAGACCTACTACATGAGCAGGTCTCATGGCTATCTGAGACCTGGTTTTACCACATCTAACAGTCAGATGCCATTTCACCCGCATGAGCAAGGCTGCTTCCTGTGTGGTTCCCAGCAAAGTCAGGGCTGTGACTAAAGAAGGCCTTGCCTCCTTTCCATACCCTGGGCTTAGCTGAGCTGTGGAGGGGTGTGTGCGTGAGTTTCAGGAAGTGAAGTGGACTCCAAAGGAAAGCTAAAAAGTCACACACAAGAAGAGAAATAAAATGATAATGGCCTCAGAGCAGAGAAGTGGACATTGGGGTGATCACAGCTGGGAAAGCGGGCTCGGGGGAGCTTTGAGACTGAGGGTGCTGGGTGGGACTGTGGTTCAGTGAAAAGGATTTGGAACTTCCTGCGGCAGCAAACAACAGGAGTCAAATGTCGTGGTGCATCCCTGTAGTCCCCGTATGCAGAGACTGAGGCAGGAGGATAGTCATGATCTCCAGGCCTGTTCCTGGACTTGGTGACCTGGAGGGACGGGAGGGAAAATGGGAAACACTGAGCACACTGGGGAGGAGGGCTGGCTACACCATGGGTGCCCAGTCAGCCCAGCCCCCACAGACGCCTGCCCTATGGAACCAGCATGCATGTGAACCAGCAAGGTCCAGAACAGACTCCAGAGTTTTTAGAGGGGACATTTAGACTCCGGAGCTCTGAAAGCACAGGACCATTTCCCACCAAAGACTCCAGAGCCCTGCACCTACAGGCTTCCCCGGAGCTGGCTTACAATCCTAGCTCCTCACAGCCTGTGGTCCAGGATAGCCTACAGTTGGCTGCAGATACACCCAACCTCTGGACCCACATCAACTACAGTTAAAGTCAGCTTGGGGCCTCAGAAGAAACTTGAGCCCCTCACTCCAGGGGTCTCTGCCCTGCATCCCCTGGGACAACTAAACACAGCCCTTTTGGATGTGGCTGCTTCTTCCTTCACAGATAGCCCCTCGCCCCCCTAATTCCACTTCTTATAATGGTCTTGGTCTCCTGGGTTTCTAACTCTGCTAGGTGGGAAGTCTGGAGGAGATCTGAAGAGTAATTCATAGAACCACTTCCACAAAGCCATTTCTAGTCCATGTTCTCATAGGACCCTCTCCCAGGAGCCAAGGGCAGGGCTGTTGGTGTTAGCGAGTCAGTCAGCTGTGCTAGCTGATGCAACACTGGCTAATGGTGAAGAGAAGGACTGTCTCTCCATGATGGCTGGAGGAAGACCCCATAGACAACAATATAAGCCATAAGAACTCCTAGCCACTCTAGAGGCTGAGGCAGGAGAATCTGTTGAGTCTGGAGCTGGAGATCTGCCTGGACAACAGAGACTCTCTGTCTCCAACATAGAGCAACAAAAGCCCACATATACCCAAAGTGATGGGCAACCCTCAGCAGGTCTAATTCGCCCACTGTCCTGCTGTATGACCTGACTGTTTTCAGGGGTTATAAGAAGGGACCTTTGCCTTCTGGGCGTGAAGAAGCCCAGCCTCTTCCTGCTGAAGGGTCAGTGGTAGTTCATCATCTAGGACACTGCCCCTTGCTTCACTTCCTTTTGGTGGTGACTTTAAGAGTGCCGTCTGGGGTGTTTTCTGTTTAGGAATGCAATCTTTGTTCACAGTATGTGAATGTTTCTTCTTGGTCTTTTCATTGCACTTACACTGGACTTTTTCCAACATTTTTAATACAACAAACTGCACAGAATTGGATAGTTGTGAATAAAGCAGCAGTGATGAGAGAGGAGAAACCACACAGACAGAGACAGAGCACCAGTTCCAGATCCGAGATTTGAGGTACAAAATGGAACAATATCCTTGCCATTAAATGTCTACAAGTTGACCAATGTGCTTGCCAGTGACCTTGAACTCCTGATGGGAGACGGGAAGGGCGTAGGGCTGGGCTGCAGCGGTGTCAGAGAAAGGCTGGAAGGAAGTTAAGAGCTAATCAAGGCAAGCATCTAGCCACGCTGTGGTCACTCTGGGCAGCTATGGCAGGGGGTCGGCATTGCCAGGATCTGCAATCACTTCTCAGGGAGAGCCACACAAGGCACAGTCACATTCAGAAAGCTGAGGAGGCCAGGCACTGTTAGTGAAGGGGTTTACAGGAGTCTGATGGCACTAATTAAGAGAGAAATGAACAATGGGATCTCAGAGCTCTGATTAGGGCAGATAAGATGCAGTGACTCTTAGGGAGGGAGAAGTTCAGAGTCACGCAGGGACCCTGACTCCCAC